GAAATCCAGGTCTCCTACTCCTCTGCCATCTTGCTCCGCCTCCCCAGGCCTATAGTTTTATTTTTGTGGTGTCTTTGCCTGCTTTTGGTATCAGGGTAATACTGGCCTCATAGAATGTATTTGGCAGCTTCCCTTTCTCTTCTGTTGTTTGAAATAGTTTGAGGAGAATAGGTATTACTCTTTAAGTGTCTGGTAGAATTCCCCTGTGAATCCATCCGGTCCTGGACTTTTCTTTTCTTTTTTTTTTTTTTTTTGGATATTTTTTTGATTGCCATTCAATTTTGTCACTTGTAATTGGTCTATTCAGATGTTCTATTTCTCCCTGGTTCAGTTTTGGAAGACTGTATGTTTCTAGGAATTTAACCATTTCATCTAAGTTGTCCCATTTGTTGGTATATAATTTTTTATAGTATTCACTTACAATCCTTTGTATTTCTGTGGTATCAGCTCTTCTCATTTCTGATTTTTTTTTTTTTAATTTGGGTCATTTTTTTTCCTTGATGAATGTGGCTAAGGGTTTGTCAATTTTGTTTACCTTTTCAAAGAACCAACTCCGTTTCACTGATTTTTTTTTTCTTTTTTTTTTTTGTTGTTGTTGTTCCTAGGTCTTTTATTTCTGCTCTGATCTTTAGTGTTTCCTTTGGTTTTGTTTGTTCTTCTTTCTCTAGTTCCTTTAGGTGTGAGTTTTGATTGTTTGAGCTTTTTCTTATTTCTTGAGGTAGGCCTGTATCACTGTATACTGTATACTTCTCTCTTAGAACCACTTTTGCTGCATCCCAAAGATTTTGGGCCATTGTGTTTTCATTTTCATTCATCTTCATGTATTTTATTTCTTCTTTGATTGCTTCATTAACCTATTGGTTGTTCTGTATCATGGTGTGTAGTCTCCATATGTTTGTGTTTTTTCCTTTTTTCTTGTGACTTATTTTTAGTTTCATACTGTTGTGATCAGAAAAGATGCATGGTATGATTTCAATCTTCTTAAATTTATTGAGGCTTGTTTTATGGCCTGGTATGTGATCTATTCTGGAGAATGTTCCATGTGTGCTTGAAAAGAGTGAGTACTCTGTTTTGGGATAGAATGTTCCATATATATCTGTTATGTCCATCTGGTCCAAAGATGGTCAAAGACATTGTTTCCTTATTGATTTTTCTGTCTGGATGGTCCAGACAGAAGTGGGGTGTTAAAGTGCCCTCCTAACCATGAATTTCTCTCTTTATGTCCATTTATGTTTGCTTTATGTATTTCGGTGCTCCAGTGTTGAGTGTATAGATATTTATAATGGTTATATCCTCTTGTTGGATTGATCCTTTTGTCATTATGTAATAATTGTTGTTACAGTCTTTGTTTTAAAGTCTATTTTGTCTGATGTAAGTATTGCTACCCCAGCTTTTTTTCACTTCCATTTGTTTGGTGAATCTTTCTCCATCCCTTCACTTTCAGTCTGTATATGTCTTTAGGTCTGAGGTGTGAGTTTCTTGTAGGCAGCATATAGATGGGTCTTGTTTTTTTATCTACTGTCACCCTATGTCTTTTGGTTGGAGCATTTAGGCCATTTACATGTAAAGTGATTATTGATACTTTTTGCCATTTTAAAAATTTGTTTTCTGGTTGTTTTATTCCTTTTTCTTCTTCTTTGTGACTGGTGAGTTTCTATAGTGTTATATTTAGCTTTCTTTCTCTTTCTTTTTTGTGTGTCTATCATAGGTTTTGTGCTTGTGGTTACCATGAAGTTCACATAGAACATTCCAAGTAAAGAGCAGTCTATATTAATTTGATGGTCATTTAAGTTCAAAGGCATTCCAAAGGTGGGGGGGGCTTTTTCTTTTTCCCCTTTTCTTCCCTTTTTACTCCCTTCTCTACATTTTATGTGTATGTTGTCATATTTTACATTTTTTATTCATAATTTTCTTATCTCTAATTATGGCCATTTCTTTTCCACTTAAAGAAGTCCCTTTATTTTTTCTTGTAAGGCTACTTTAGTGGTGATGAACTCCTTTATCTTTCATTTGTCCAGGAAACTCTTCATCTCTCCTTCAAATCTGGATGATAATCTTGTCTGGTAGAGTATTCTTGGCTGTATGTTTTGTTTTGTTTTGTTTTCCTTTCAGCACTTTGCAAGCCAGAAGAAAGTGGCAGGATATACTCAAAGTTTCTGCAGAAAAATCAGCTGATTGCCTTATAGATTTTCCTTTCTAAGTAACTTTTTGTTCCTTTCTTGCTGCTTTTAAGATTCTCTCTTTATCTTTAACCTTTGACATTTTAATTATGTGCCATTGTGTGGACCTCCTTGGGTTCATCTTGTTTGGAACTCTCTGTGCTTTTTGGACTTGGATATCTATTTCCTTCCCTAGATTAGGGAAGTTTTCAATTATTTCTTCAAATAAGTTTTCTACACCTTCCTCTCTTTTTCTGGGACCCCTAGAATGCAAATGTTTGTTCATTTTGTCATCCATGAGATCTCTTAATCTATCTTTTCTTTTTTTTTTTTTTTTATTCTTTTTCTCTTTTTGCTGTTCAGCTTGTGTTGTTCTCCATTACCCTGTCATCCAGGTTGCTGGTATGTTCTTCTGCATCCTCTAATCTACGGTTAATTCCCTGTTATTTCAGTTATTGTATTCTTCAACTCTGATTGGTTCTTTTTAATATTTTCTATATCTTTATTGAAAGTCTCACTAAGATCTTCCACTTTTTTCTCCAGCCCTGTTATCTTCACAATTATTAAATTCTTTATCAGGCATGTTGCTTATCTCTGTTTCATTTAGTTGTTTTTCTGAGGTTTTTTTTTTCCCCCTTTCTTTTGGAGCAAATTCCTCTGTCTCCACATTTTGCTTGACTTTCTGTGTTTGTTTCTGTGGATTAGGCAGAACAGCTACTGCTCCTAAACTTGAAGGTTGGTGTCCCTTTGCAGACTGTGTGTGCTTGGTGACTTTTCTGGTGGCTGGAGCTGTGGCTGTATATGCTAGTTATTTAAACTGTGGCTTTTTGCAGAAAAAAGAAAATAATAAAATTTGAAAGAAAAAGAAAAGGAGGAAATAAAAGTTTTTAATTTAAAAATAAAAACTTGTTTTAATTAAAAAATTAAAACAAACAAACAAAAAGAACTAAAATTCCACAGCTTATTTTCTGTGCCCTGGCACCACAGAGGCTGGTATGGGCTTATGGACCCTGGGCTTGCTGATGTTGCAAGCCCCCTCTGATGACTGAACCCTACCATTTATAGGGTTGGAACCTGTATGTTATGGCATCTAAATCCACTGGTGATTGTGTTTGGACCCTTGCTCCAGTCTGGGCCTTAAAAGTGGAGGGGGAGAGAGTGTTCCCACTGCTCCTTGGCCCTTTTAAACTGTGGCTTTTTTTCTGTGTCCCAGCACCACACCACTGAGACTGGTGTGGGCTTGAGGACCGTGGGCTTGTTGAGGTCAGTGAGGTTGAGAGCTCACAGAGACAACCAGACCTGCTCATTTGCTGATCAGACCCTGTTCTGACCGAAGTTTTAAGGTGGAATGGTAATAATGTAAACCATCATTTTCCAGTCCCTCTGACTTGGAGAGCTTAGCCTGCAGCTCCTCCACAATGTGGCAGAGTTCTAGTGTTGTCTCTTTCAGATGCTAATTGCTCTTTTAAACTATGGCTTATTTTCTGTGCCCAAGGACAGAGGAATTTGTGCCTGCCCTCACCATACTCTGCATCCCCACAGCATCAGTTTTCCTTTGTTACTGTGTCTCTGCCTCTCTTTGTGTTCTTTTGCCATTTTCTCTATCTTTGGTTGTTCAGTAGCTGATCAGTCAGCCCTCGGTTGTTTTTTGTCTTTTTGTTTTGTTTTTCAGGAGGAATTGTTCTATTAATAGGTGTAATTTGATGGGTTCCAGGGAAGGGGGGTGAGTTCAGGGTTACCATCTTGAACTGGAACCTAATGGTCTCATTTTCTACTTCCTGTCCCATTATAATTATGCCACTGTTCAGTAATTTTTAAGAAAAGGTCTAAAATAAGATACTGTGTTTTTTGTTGTGTCTCCATCTTAATTTTATGCAAGATACTAGATTTTCATCAGCAAATTTTAAAAGTTTCGGAAACAGGTAAAGATTCTAATATTAAGGGGGGAAAAGAGGCAAAGGTATGGGCAGTGTTACGTAGGTTGTGCAGCCACAGTAGGGAATTTGCTCCTTTCACTTTGGTTTATGAGCACACATCCTATGAGCTTACTTGCTAGAATTCTCATTTATAATTCTCATCGTAGAGAATTTTGAAATCTAGGTTTGAAATCCTGTCTGCTTTTAACAGTTTACAAATTGGTTTGGGCATCATTTGCTGTGAATTTTAATGATAAAAGTTGGAAGGTTTGCTTTAATCATCCCTCTCTTCCCCTTTGCAAGGGCGTTTTGAATTGGCACCAATTTCTTGAAGGCCCTGAGGGTGTTGAAAATGCTCGGTTTGGTTCAGCGATTGCAGCTCTTTCAGATATCAACATGGATGGCTTTAACGATGTAATAGTTGGTTCACCTTTGGAAAATCAGAACTCTGGAGCTGTGTATATCTACAACGGTCACGAGAGCACCATTCGCATTAGATATTCTCAGGTAATCCGTGGAGTTCCATAGTGATGCGTTCACTTGTGAGTATCATCATGTTAGAGTGACAGAGTACCATGCAGACAATCTGATCCATCCCACTTATTTTAGAACTGTATTTGTTCATTAAGCAAACATTTAGTGAGCCTCCTACTCTGTGTCAAGCACTGTCCTGGGTCTGGAGATACTGTAAAGAACAGGACAGGTGGGGTGCCTGGGTGGGTGACAGTGGTTAAGCGGCTGCCTTCGGCTCAGGTCATAATCCCAGGGTTCTGGGATCGAGCCCTGCGTCAGGCTCCTTCCTCAGCAGGGAGCCTGCTTCTCCCTCTCTCTCTCGCTCTGCCTGCCTCTCTGCCTACTTGTGTTCTCTCTCGATCTTTGTCAAATAAATAAATAAAATCTTAAAAGAACAGGACAGATAAAATTCTGCTCTTTGTGGATCTTACATTTTTTGTGGAGGAGACAGAGGGGAAAATAAGGTAAGTGAGATAAAGTGTTCCAGATCATAATAAATGATAAGGCATTTAAAAAAATTTTTAAATGTTAAGGGATGGGAGTTATTAGGTAGTTTAAAGGGTGACCAAGGGGGCCTCATTGATCAGGCAACTTTCCAGGGAAGTCCTAAAAGATGTGGTCTAGGAGAGCAATCATACCTGAGCTCGCTTCAAATCCTGCTCAGCCCAGTGATCTGCTGCTTTGTGATTTTATGTTTAAAGATTCATACTGTTTCTTTAATGTGGCTGCAAGCATGATAAACAGATGAGAAAAGCTGTGATTGAAAAATCAGTGGGATTTTGTGGAGAATAAAACAACTTGAAGTGGCTATATAGAAAATCTAACAGTGCAGTATAGAAGCTCCTTTTTTTTTCCCCCCTATTTCAGTTGTTACACATTATACTTTCATGTCAAACTTGCTCTTTCAGAAAATCTTGGGATCCGATGGAGCCTTTAGGAGCCAGCTCCAGTACTTTGGGAGATCTTTGGATGGTTATGGTGACTTAAATGGGGATTCTATCACCGATGTGTCTGTTGGTGCCTTTGGGCAAGTCGTTCAGCTCTGGTGAGTCAGCTGAGAGCCAGACACAAACTAGCTAACGAAAAAAATGACCTGTTAAGTAGAGCAGATAGCTGTGCTGAAATTGTGGAAATGCCACATGCATTCTAGAAGACTCCAGGACAATTATGTGTCATAGTTTATGTGTCAAAGGAAGAAATGTGTTTTTCCTTGTGGGAGAAGAAAAATATTTATTTAACATTGCTGTCAAGTTCCTCTTCTCTATATGGTGAGCAGATAAAGGACATAGAAAAGACAGAGCCTTTGAAATGGTATCCAAGATATTTCTGAATATTATCTTCCAAATAACCTTACCTCATCTCACAGAAAGGAAGCCTCGTGAGAATGCTCTAAAAATACTGAACACTCAGACCACACAAGTGAAGTATAACTTCTCATGTGGTTATGAAGTAACTTTTGAAATTATTAGTCATAAACAAGAAGCCATTATTTAGGTTTAGCTGACCTCTCACTGACCTCAGTAGGAGTTGAAGAGCAAGGAGGAGCAATAGGGGATTCAAGAGCTGTGTGATTCAAGGACAAATATAAATATATTGGGTTGGCCAGGAATTGGAATCAGAAAGAAATTGAGCATTCGATCAAGAGTCCCCGCCAAATATATTTCATTTGTCTCTGTTGAAAACTGTGTTTTAAATGTCCAAATACTTCAAGAACCGAACAACATTACATAAACTACAATATTTCACATGTGCTTTTAAAAAATGAAGTGCATTGTTTTGAGTGCATCATTTTAATGAAAACTTCACCTGGGAGGAAAACAATGCACAGATCATACTTAAGACTGACACATTAAAAAAATATATTTACTGAATAAAGTCAGTTAAGAGTAACATGCCATTAGAAAAATACAAGGTGTGATAACATAGTCACAGGACTTATGATTTCTTATAAATTTTTTTAAAAATACCTTCCAGGGAACATCACCCTCCAGCCATCTTGGTAGGCTTCATCCTTCATAGCCTATGTAATTATTATACTATGACACTTCCTTTTTTAAAAAAGATTTTAAGTAATTTCTATACCCATCAAGGGTTTCGAACCCACAACCCCAAGGTCAAGAGTCACATGCTCCACTGACTGAGCCAGCCAGGCGCCCCGATACTCCCTGTTAATGTTGCCAGTGACGGCCAAACTTTTTTATTTAAAGGTGGATTTGATTCTTCAAAAAGTCAAGACACATGGAGTCAGGTCAATTTATTGAGGTGATCAGTCAAGCTAGATTCTTGCCATTTTGTGGTCCCATTCCTATAAGGTGCTGAGACTAGATTTTCTGGGTAACTTCCTGAGAATAAAAAAAAAAAACAAGTTTACAAAATCATTTCAATCAATGCCACCATCTCCACTGGGATAAAAGATTCTCTTAAAGAGACTGACTTACAGAAAACATTCACTTAGACATTTTAGATCTTGTAGGTTTGAGGACGTGGTGTACTTGGTTGTTAGGTGTTTTATGGCTGCTTATTAGGAGGCCTTATAGGTACATGATTAACTGATGAAACAATTTTTCAGTTGACTCAAGTCCTTCAGATGGTACCTGAGATGAAAGAGAAAATGTCTTCTGCATCTTCTTGCGGTACTTCTCAGAACAGTGAAATTACTAATTACTACTACTGGCTGCTCTGTAAATAACGGAGCGTGTGCACACAGGGTCATTATGCTGAAGTACAAAAGGAACTAGGAACTAGGCAGAGGAACTAGGAGATCATGAGCTCTAACTCCTCACATGCTAGCTATTACTCAGTAAATTGATGTTACTAAATGTTTTTTGTTTGTTTCAGACTTTTTCATTAATAAAAGGGAGACAATATTCTATTTCACAGGAGTGTTATAGGGGCAAATGAGGCCATGTGTATGTGAGAGATTTTCAGATATCTCAAGGGCTGTGCCAGAGTCTGAAGTCTTTAGCGCCCTGCCTGAGAGACTCCCCAGCTATTTTCTGATATCAGGCTAGTTCTGATATCATGGTCCTATGCCACACATCAAAGAATTGCTGCCAGCCATTAAGGGAGGCAACAGGGAGATGGCCACGGCCATGCTCCTCGGCCACGGCCACGCTCCTCGGCCACGGCCACGCTCCTCAGCCACGGCCACGCTCGCTCCTCGGTCATCAGCCACACCACTCCCACCTTGCCACCTGCTCTCTTCCCTTCCTTTGTGGAAGAGCAAACATCACTGTTTGTGGTTGGCAATAGGCAGCAAGGGACCGTGACTTTGACTTTATTTGCAAAGAGGTTGCAGACTCACATCCTGCACTTATGCATGCATCAAACAAACAAACAAAAAATATTAAATGTGGATTGGGCTGGCAGTGCAGTTACAACCACAGAAGACCTTATTCCTACCTGCCATTTTAGAGCTTTCAAGTATGAAATACTGCCCAAGTGCTTAGATCATGCAGAGAATAATTTGATAATGCTGGCCCTGGGTCCTCTAGGTAAAGGTTATAACATGTGCACTTGGCAGTAACCTATCTGTTTCCATTTATGTCTTTCAGGTCACAGAGTATTGCTGATGTATCTGTGGAAGCTTTGTTCACACCAGAAAAAATTACTTTGTTCAACAAGAATGCTGACATAAAACTCCAACTCTGTTTCAGTGCCAAGTTTAGACCTACTAAGCGAAACGATCGAGTGGGTGGGTCGACCTGAAATAATCTGTGTGGAGATAGGTTTGCTTGTGGAGTTTTAGTCCTGAATATAACCTATACTTTGGGCTTATAGACCAGAAGGAATAAGGGTCTTGCAGGTATTTAAGTTGCCACACATTTGAGGTGCCTGAGAATGGTTAATTAGGTATGGAAGATGTGGTTAGATCTTCCTGTATTTTTTCTAGAAAGTAAATTTCTGCAGCAGAATGTTACCATCTCTGGACCTAGTCCCAGGCTCTCCCAACTCTATCTAAATGTCTTTTACCCATGGGTTCCTTACCTCAAACCTTGGGCACGCACAGATGACACTGATGTTACACCCATATTTTATGCCATATGTCCGCTATGACATGATCTAGATACAGTGTGTATAGCACAAGTACCAAATATTCCTATTCTTGAGGAATTAATAGGCATGAGATAATAAGAGAAAATATAAACAATATGCAGTTTGTGCCCAGTGTTTTAAATGTTCTAAATAATCTGGAGAAGTGGGTAAAAATCTGAAATGTGTCCTGCCAGCAAGAAAGAGTGAGGAAAATTGGACAAATGTCACCAGGAATTGTCATCTCTCTCTTGGACCAGCGAGCCCTCTTTCAGGGTGTGACCGAGTCCTTCCACACCACTGCCCCTCACTCTCATCTCTCCTGCTCCAGCACCCGCAGAGCATGGCAATGGACTTAGCACTTGATTAAACACTGCCTTCTTTCTCTCGCTGCTTTTTCATGGGTTCTCATCCCCCTTCCATCAGATTTGGGCTCTAACCTTCAGACACCTGCAGTTCCTACAAGTGTTTCATTAAGTGGTTAACAAACCAACTTAACCTGCCTCTCTATTTTCAGTCTTTGTCATGATTCATACCAAGAAATACATAGGTTAAAAACACAAGGCAGAAGTTAGATTCACATTTTTGCACGCTTTCCATATTTTCCTATTTCTTACAGCTCTCTGGCATTTTTCCATTCAGGCGTTCAAATGCTGACCCAACTCTGAGTAGCACATCTCACAGATCTGCCTTGTACCAGGTCCGTTTGAGTAGCCAGGAGAGTTGAGTCAAAAACCATTCCTGTATAAACACTAAGTGGCCAGATGCAAGGTACAGCATGGTGACTATAGCTAACAACACTGGGTTGTCTATCTGAAGGTTGCTAAGAGAGATTTTCAAAGTTCTCACCACACACACACACACACACACACACACACATACACAGAATTGCAACTGTGTGAGGTGATGATCTGTTAACCTTATTGTAATCATTTCCCAATATTTACATATATAAGATAACTACACTGTATAGCTGAAATTGATACAATATTATATCTCCATCACATCTCAACAAAGCTTGGGGTGGGGGGGGACATTAAGTGGCTAGTCTGCATAAAACATTAATTCGGGAAATATATTAGTTGGCAGAAATGGCTGGCTGGTTCACTCTCCTGGCCTGAAAGCATGGATTTGTCTCCTAAATCTTCCTCTTTTTGAGGGGGCTTTGTTGCTGTAACTGGAAAGCAGCTTTCCGCCTTCAGAGAAGGTCCTTACTTGGGCTTTCTTCCCACTGGGGACCTTTTCCTTGATGTCTCCAGGTCCACACAGACAAGCCAGTCATGATCATTTGTCACTTAATTGTCTGGCAATAATAGTATGTGAGACCAGAATCCCATCTTCACAACTTTGAGAAGTAAATTTCTAAAGCATATGGTCTTTATTATTTATTGTATCAGGTACTTGCTCCAGTTTAAAGTTAATAACCTAAAAAATTGATATATTGCCTATGAGGCTATCCTTTTCACCAGGCTACTTGAGAAAAATGATCTAGTATTACCATGTGTACTAACTCTATCCTGGCTATGTTCGCCTCCCTGGCATTTTTCCTTTATATCATTTTCACCACTTTTTATTCATTTGATTCACTTATATTTTATCTATCTTTGTTAACTTCATTAAGTCATTGGAGCAAGAAAAATTATCCAACATCTCTAATAGATATTTTAAAGGTAACCTGTAGAATTAATGTATGTTGGAAGTCCACTCAACCTTTAAAATATTGAAAATAGTAAAATAAGTTGGAGTAACCCCAGATAAGGCAGCTGATGCTTTGAATATCATCAGGTCTTCTTTCTCAGTTTTGGACAGCAGACTCTAGTTGAAGGCTCTGATACTTTGTATATTGGCTACTAACATCAGTTTTTATTGCATTTTTTTTTTCATTTTCATTTCCCTGGGTTGGTAGTATTATCTCTGTTTTATAGATGAGGAAATGGAGGCTCAAAGAGGTTACACAAATGGCCTAAAGTCATACAGCTCATAAATCGTGGATTAGAATTCAAGCCAAGTCTGTCTGACTCCAAACTTACTACTGTGGAGTTTCATGCCTTCCCCCCGCCCCAAATAAAGCATCTAGGGTGTTCCCTCAGAGTTGATCTCAAACAACAGTTAATCCTCACAACTGCATGGAAGCCGAAAGAACATGAGCCCTGATTTTAAAATTACCCTAGCTTTATTTCTGATGGTGACCTAGCTGTGTGAATGGAGCTGGTTTATTTTACCTCTTTTATTCTGTTTAGTATCTGAAATATGAGATCATATCCACTTTCCAGGTTGATAGTAAAACTTGTATAAGGGAACATCTGAGAATGTGTTCAATTGTAGGCACTCAGTAACTCCTCCTTTATCATATCACCATGTTAGGGATGATAAAACCGATGCTTGAGGAAGTGAATAATTTGACCAAATTCCCTCTGTAGATTTCCTGGTGGCAAGTCCACTTTGTTCCCCACTCTTCAAGCCATGCTTCTTTGAATCCCCTCTCTCTGTAACCACAGTCCCCTATATCGTACCAGAGTCTGAATTACAAATGCCGTGGCCATCCACTGCTCACAATCCATTCATGGAAAGACTGTTTTTATATTTTCTTGAAGTCCTTGACTTCACCCAGTAAGACACAATAAGGCAGGGATGGTTTTTCTATAAATGTTTATTTGCAATAAAATTTCTTTGTGATTTTTATCATAGCCATTATCTACAACATCACAATTGATGCCGACCTGTATTCATCCAGAGTAACCTCCAGGGGTTTATTTAAAGAAAATAATGAAAGGTGCCTGCAGAAGAATATGCTCATAAGCCAAGCACAGAGTTGCGCTGAGCACACCATCCACATACAGGTGAGGCCTCAGTCCTCTCTTTCATCTTTTCCTCTGAATGACTCATGAATGGTCAAAGTCTAAAAAGGAAGCTTGGGAGTTAGAAAATGCTTGCCCTTTTAATTAATGCTTTTCTTGTCTAATTTTATAAGCAGGAAATCCTATATTCTTTATGCTAGCGTATGGTCGCCTTCTATTAATATGTTACTAGCATGAAATTTTATTTGGGCTTACAACTGAAAGGCTAAAAATAGGATTCTTAAAGAAATCAAACACAGTGCTTTCTTAAACATTTAACAGGAAAAGCTTTTGTAGACAGTAAGTTTTATTCTAGCATTTTCCTATCAGGGAAAATTTTTAAGCTGCTAAAAAGGACAATTCCATTTGTGATTTCCATTATTGGATTTAAATTAATATAGGTGAAGGATGAGGTAAAAATTATTTGCTCCAGTCTTATGCCATAGTTACTATAGTTGACATGAATTTTGAAAATCTTGCAAGTAAGAAAAATGCTTCTCGGGGGAAAATTTCCAACAGAAAATTGATTTTATAAATTATATGACTATATCCCCCCAGAACCATGTAAGTTGTTTGAAAGTGTGATTTCCTCAGGAAACCATTTTTAAAAGAGCTGCTTAAGAACTTTCCTAGAACATGGTTCTCAGAGTTCAAGATGCATAAGAATTGCCAAGAGAACTTTTATAAAATGCATATTCTGGGTTCCCACCACCAGAAATTTGGGTTTAAAGGCCCAAGGTATAAGCAGATTTAAGGAGTATTCCCAGATATTTTTGATATAGATGAATGATACAGAGATCACATATCAAAAACTACTAAATATGTAGTTGGAAAAACAGAGTTAATAGAAGAATTAAAATCAATTGCATTGTTTAATTTCTTGCTCATGTTAAAGGAGTCTTGTTTAGGAAGGCCTGGACCTTTTTTGTTGTGAAGATGCTAATTATACACATCCTTTAAAGGGCTAAAAGCCAGCTCTCATTGTCTGCTATTTTTGTGCTAAGTCATAGATCAAATGAAACCTGGGGGGGAATGAAGTCAGCCAAGCTGTTGTTCGCATATATATCCTGTTCATGCTGATGTGTACTTGTGAAGTTTTTAAGAAAATGTGTGTGATTTGGGTCAGAGAAGAGATCTTGTTTCAGTTAACACACCGTATTGGGTATCAATCCCAAGCCCATCCTGTGTGCCAGCCTTTCAGCCAGTTGAGGAACCCCCCTTTACCTGGTTCTATAGAGCAGAGTTAGGCTCTTGACCAAGGAAGGGAGTTCTCTTGTCATTTCCTGATAGCCAGCCCTGAGCACCTTCCCATCTAGGTCATAATAGGCCCTCCCGGAGATTTGGTCAGGATACCTAAGGACTCCTAAGTCTTGGCCGTAGGAACTGGGAAGACTGTAGCCAACAACCTGAGAGCCGTGTACTGATAGGACTTTTAAGTATTAAAACTGGGCATATCCTCTAAATATTTATAAATTGTGTATGAATAACAAGATTACTGGTGAGCTTAACTAAGAATTGCTGCTTCAGATTTTTACTTGAACCCAAGTCTCTAAGTTTCTTGGTAGTGGAGAGGCTAAGGGCAGAATTAAGACAGAAAAGAAGCAAGAGTCTGGAAAATTCAAAAGAAGGATATTCTCCATAATGGAGAGGGGACTGTGTTCTTAATTATGAACACATTAGTGGTCATTTTCTTGTTTTGAAGCTGCCATGCCCTAGTAAACTGCCTCACTCTGTCTGTGTGTGTTTAGAAGCCCTCTGACGTTGTCAACTCTTTGGATCTGTGTGTGAACATCAGTCTGGAAAACCCTGGCACCAGCCCCGCCCTTGAAGTCTACTCTGAGAAGGCCAAGGTCTTCAGTGTGAGTGCAGTTTGCCCTTCCTGGAATTCAGACTGGCTAAGAAAGCTTCATAGTTGCTGCGGTCGTGTTTGAAAGCTACCTAGGACATAACTTTTCAACTGTTCGTCTTCTACGTGAAAATACCTGTATGTGCAAAATTCACCAGCGTGCAAGTTCCATGAAGGACAGGGATTTTTATCTTCTTCGCTGCTCTATTCCCAGCCCCCTGAGCAGTGCCTGGCCCACCATAGGTGTTCAATAAATATTTTTTGAAGAAATAAATAACCATAAAGTCAAACACCTTGTGCTCACCACCCACTTAAAAAATGTTACCAAAACCTATGTTCTCTGCATCCCTCCCTACCCCCATTGCATCCACGTTCATCTTGCTCCCCCAGGCAAATCATCACCTTGCATTTTGCCTTTATTGATGCCTTTCTTCCTATGTTGCTAACCATGTATATATTCCTAAAATGTTGTTTAGCTTTGCATGGTTTTGAGCTTTATATAAATGGAATAATTCTACATGTATTTTTCCACAGTCTGGTTTTTAACTCAAGAGCAAATGTGTGGGATTGTTTTTCCTTTTTTGTAGATCCCTTTCTACAAGGACTGTGGGGATGATGGAGTTTGTATCTCGGATCTAGTTCTAGATGTCCAACAACTGTCAGCCACTCAGTAAGTCTGCTCTTGAGCTCAGTGTAAAATGTAGAAATAAGACACGTTAGATCACTTTATTCAAGTGAATGTTTATGGAGATTTTTTTCTACAAAAGAAACATCCATAACTAATAAAGACCCTTAAAATCTGAATTTCAGTTTCTACCATCCATAAAGGAGTAAAACAGTAAGAAATCTCAAACCATTTGTATTTGGGCTGGTTCCTCTCCCTGCAATGTAATTAAAATCAATGAAGAAGAAGATCTAATAGCATTAACTTATTTGTTGTCTGCATCATTTTACTATGAAGATGGTTTATTACACAACTTTCTCAGTCCTCCAAATCTAAAGAGTTTTATCTTCTTATTTTTAAAATGAGTGAAGTATTTGAACACCGGCCTTTTTAACCTTACTTTTTTTTCTCTTTTTTACCTTTTTCCTTTTAACAGAGATCAACTCTTTATTGTCAGCAACCAAAACAGAAGGTTAACATTTTCAGTAACACTGAAAAACAAAAGAGAAAGTGCATACAACACTAGAATTGTTGTTGATTTTTCAGAAAACTTGTTTTTTGCTTCCTGGTCCATGCCGGTAGGTGACGACACTCCAGGCTCACCGCTCTTGTGTTTCCTGCCTGACATTAGTGACCACCTTGCTCACACCCACACCCCCGTGTCATGTATGCTATCTGAAGAAGCACCTTACACCTAAGTGCGATCAATCCTAACTCTGGGGCTCCCAACTAGTTAAACCACATGAGAGCGTAGCCTGGCTCTGTATCTAGACCAGTTCTGCTTCACAGCTTGGTCAGTTTTTCCTCTGCCCTGAGACTTGGCCAGACACAACCATAACTCTTCTCAAGCCATCTGTGGGATAAGGCTGCCATGGTGCTGCACAGAGGCTCCGAGCTGCACTTGCTCCGAGAAGTTAGAGTCCCCTAGCGCCCGGGCCAAGCTCTGTAACCACAAGTCTTGCTACTGCCAGGATGCTGCATTCCAGCGAGGTCAGTTAATCACGTTGACTTGATCACTATACCAGGAGCACACTTGGCCATGAATGCCCCTCTGGCCCCTCTGTTGCCACCAAGCAATGAAAGGGAGAGGAGAGAAAAGCGGAGATTTCCCAAATTCACTACTTGATAAAAGGATTAAAAATGGCTTCATCCAAGTTAAAGTCGAACTTAACAGATTCCGTGTTCTAAATCTATTCTGACTTCGGTGTTCAATTTCCTATGCCAAATGGGAACTTCTTATTTTAAAGAGGAAAAAAACAAAACAAAACAAGGAGAACTAAAAAAGATTCTTTAAATTATTTAAAATACAAACACCAACATATGATTTGCTTTCTTCTCTTGAAAGTACAAATTTCAAATATATTGAGAGAAAGGTATGTATTAAAGACATCATTTCTAAATATTGGATTAAAGTTATTTTGTGCTTTTGAAATATAAGAACTATGATTTATAGTTCTGGGGGGAAATTCCAGTATTTGACCTCACTTTTGGCTTATTGGGTGTCCTGCTTAGCAATAAAAATAGAATAATAGCTACCCGGACAATATAAGCTTTTTGAGTCTTGGGGGACAATAAATTCATTGTGAACCAGCTTTACTGCTAAAATGCCCATGTGGTTTATATATCCTTCAGCATGTATGTGCACACGCATGCATGCCCACACATGTGTGCACACACACACACATGCACTCTACATATTGATCATTGTTTCCTTGGTCTCTTTCAGGTTGATGGGACAGAAGTAACATGCCAGATCGCTTCATCTCAGAAGACTGTTACCTGTGATGTTGGCTACCCTGCTTTGAAGAGGGAGCAACAGGTACAACTTGCATTTCATCCTCAAATCCACACTAGCCCCTCTCAGTACTAGTGTTCATTCGCCACCATCCCGTCTTCATTGTTAGGTAACATCATTTGACAGGTGTCACAAACTGCATATTTACAGGAAGTTTTTAAAATATCTGAGTGGTTTAAGTTATTAATAAAAGTGGGATTTTTCCCCCATGCAATTCATTTCAAAAGCACATGCAAGAGGGAGAGTTCTTTTTTTTTTTTTTTTTACTGAATATATTGACCAACACTGGTCCAAGTGCTGTACAGTCACGGCTATCCTATGTTAACCCCTAGTAAGCAAATTCCACTTCGGCACAGAACTCTCACGTTCTGACAAGTAGCCATGCCTGTGATGTGAAGATCTGTACACGCGACTTGAAAGGTGTAGGCCCTCTAATTCTAAAGGTGAGGCGTGCTAAGTACAGCAAGGTGGATGAACAGATATTCTACAAGTTCGAAAGCTTAAGGCATATACAATTCAGAATCAAACTGGGGTGAGTTTGCTTTTCTGGGGAACTTTTTCTTTAATTGGTCCCTGTGTATGAACCATCCCAGATTAATGAACTTTAATTTTGTGTATAGGTGACTTTCACTATTAACTTTGACTTCAATCTTCAAAACCTTCAGAATCAGGCATCTGTCCATTTCCAAGCCTTAAGGTAAAACATAATGAAGCCATGAATTGATAATAGATGGGCTTTAATAATATTTCTCTCTAAGTAGTTTCCTAATGTCTGTTTCAATAGCGAAAGCCATGAAGAAAACACGGCAGATAATTTGGTCAACTTCAAAATTCCTCTGCGGTATGATGCCGATATTCACATAACGAGGTAGGTGAAACACTGAGTAGCCTCTGGCCACTGATATCACTCGGTTTGTAACACGTTTGGTTCGTGACTAAAGAAGTCCTCTATATGTTCATTCTTAACTGGAAAATTTGAATTAAATATTTCCCCCTTGCCAACTAAAAGAGAAGTCCAGGGACAAGTGCGTCCTTAGGAGAACCTTGAGTGACTATGTCGTTTATGGACTGAGAGCAACACCAGAAGAGCCAGAGGAGCAGCCCCTCTGCCCCATGCTACAGGGAAAGACCTCTGCGGGCCTTCAGATGAGGTGCCCGCTTTCCCTAAGGGCCACAGCAGAACGCTTTGGGCCCTGAGGAGTTGCCACCACTTCCTTCTCCAAGCCTGCTTCCTGCCATCCCCATGAGCTCGCAAGCAATGCCCCATCCCTAAACACTGAAGCCCCAAGCACAATGCTTTGCACGTAGCAGGTCCACCACAAATAGAAAATCTCATCACAGAAAATCAGCTACTGGGGGAAAATTCCTGACATAACCGATTAGGGGTTTCTTCCAACCGAGAGGAAACGAGGCATTTCCCAAAGGAAGTCATCTACGAAGAAATACTGGATTTATTCCCTTTTCTTGCCTGACCAGAGCAAGCGTAGCTGAAAGCAGTGGCAAAATGATCCTGGTTGGTAGCAGCTATCTTGAATTGTTCAGAGGGGCAGGTGTCCTGAGAAGTGGCTAACACTTGGAACACCATAGGCACGAATAGGGTGATGCATCACCTTAACTCCCCCTAAGAAGGGAAGCAGGTTCATGGGCGCAGACATACAAGCACAGCTATGCAGGTTCGCAGGCTGTAGGTGATGCCCCCCTCCCAGCCTGGGAACCAGAGTTCTCCACCTGGTGAGGCACGGAGGCAGCCTCCTAGCACACATCGGTCATGCCTGGAAAATGCGCTGCAGTGTATTGCCAAGAAGCCAGGCCTCAAACAGTGTTTAGGGACAGCGGATTTCTCCAACTTGCCACATCGCCGCACCCCTTAAAAGCATGGAACACAGATCATGCAGTAGGTCACTGAGCAAAAACAAAAAGGAAAATGTGTCATTATGTCGAGAGCATGAGACACATGAGCAAAGATTAAAGAATGCTTCTGCAAACAGCAAAAGCAGAATAAAATACAGCCCAAGTCATCCATCCCTGAAAAATTAATCAGTAACTGCAGATTCCAAAAGGACCCGCAGTGCTCAAAGAACTGAAGACCAATGCATCCAGAGAGATTGTTATTACCACAGTACCTGATTTTTTTTTTCTTCCTACCTACATTGATTCTTACCCTAAATGCTTTTTCTTAACACAGCCTTTATAGGATTCTAGTCTCACACCACGGCAAGTTTTTCCAGATAGTTTAACATGAAATAAATATAAGATTGAAGTGGGACTTCACTTTCAGTAACATCTTAGCTCTGTATTTTTGTGATGGTAAACTGGATTTTAAGACCATCTGATGCTCTTTAAAATATACCAAAAAGTTTTTTTACAAATTAATATGGAGAATTATGATATGTAAACATTAAAATGGCTCCTAATCCCACCACCCAAATAATTCCTCTTCATGTTTTTTTAAAGAAACCAAAAATCCAAACACTACAGAAAGACAATGAAAAGTGAAGTCATCCCTCCCACCCCCTCTGGAAATTCCACAGATGACTCAGCTATTTTTCAGAATACCTTCCAGATGCAAGATTTGTCTGTCTACCGGGATATACACATGTCATGTGCGCACACACACACCCGAATGGAATGATAAAATCCTTCTCTAACCTTGCTTTTTATGTAATCTTAGAGAAGTTTTTATATCAGGACATACAGATCTAACTTATCCTATTCCTGGCTGGATCATAATTTATGTAACCAGTTCACAATTAGTAAGATTTATTTTGCAGATTTATTTTGTTTAACCATCACAAGTACTGTAAAAAAATTTTTTTAAAACTTTTTGAAAAATTCCTACCCAATCATTAAGCAGTGTAGCAACTACTTTGATAAATCTGCAATTATACTGTGCAAATATTATGGGTGGAAATCATGATAGAATTATTTTAAAAACAGGAGCCCCCTGAGCATAGCTAACTGCTTATAAATACATTGATCATCCACACTTACGTAACTTAAGGAAAACTTAAGTAACAAATGGAAAAATGTCAGATCACTTTAAAATGCAAAAGCAGAATATACTAACTTAGCAACTCTTCTTAGGGGCTCAAACAAAGGTCTTCTGGAAGGTAAAGGGAATAATTCATGCAAATACAGCCAGGCTTTCTGTTTCAAAGTCTAGTAAGTATTCCCATTTTCCATGTAAGGCTGACAAATCATTGTTTCCTCTCATCTACATAACCTTGACAAATGCCACATCTATTTGAGTCTCCTTGGACATATTTTCCTTTAGAGAATTTGGAAAAGTTTTAGGCATTAAAAAAAAAGACAGGAGTTCCATAAAGAAGCCCAAAAACTATCTCAGAAAATGTCCAGTTCAAATTTCTTTTTGAAATAGAATCATCATCCTAGAATTATGATACACTGCCCAGGGGGAAGAAATACTGCTTTTTGGACCCCAATGCCTGCTACTGAAGCCCCCACAGTCCCAATGAGGTTAGCTTGGTTGAAATCCAGCCTTAGCCCCAGAAATGAGTGAAGAGGAGCGGGAAGGGTATCCAGTTATGTTCCAGTCTGAGCGGTCCCGTCGGGGTTCCTCTGACCTGGTCCTCCCTTCACTTGCAAACCTTAGTTGGCAACCCCAAGCAAAGAGATCAAATCATCTGATACCTCTAAGTTTAGTCTAATGAAACCTCTAGGTCAGCCTTCATAAACGCGGTCTCTACACTAGTCATGGAAACAGACTGACCAACCTCAATTCAGACCAAAAGCATTAGAGTTGGTTTGGAACTAGAGAAGGATAGGGAGAAGGAATAACAAGGAAAATGTATGCCCTATTTTACAGGCATCCAGTACAAAATACTGCAGGAGCTAAAACTCCATACCCTATCATTGCATTTCAGCCACCCAAGTGGAAAATCCTCTGGCTTATCAATCCATTCATCCGATCAACAAGGACTAAGTGTGCACTGCATTAGCACACCAGTCAGTGTAATAGCAATCTTGAGTTCTACTAGTTCTAAAGTAACACACTTGTACTTATTTTAGAAACCTTACAACTGGTAAACATAGAACACAAAGAATCTTGCGTAAAGATCATGAAGGGATATATTTTTAAAGGAATTTGTTTTAGTCTTGGAAACATTAGCCTGTAAGTAGCTTTTGTTTTCATTAGGTTTTTAGACCTAAATATAAACGTTTACTTGTAATATAAGCTAGAAGATATTTAAATAAAGGAAGTATTAAGCTTCGAGAACAACAGCAAAACTAAAATATTTGGCTTTACAAACATCATCCAACAGATCCACCAACATAAATTTTTATGAAGTCTCCTCAGATGGGAATGTTCCTTCTGTCATGCACAGTTTTGAAGATATTGGTCCAAAATTCATCTTCTCCATTAAGGTTGGTAAGCCTGTCATAAGAATACTAAATCAGGAGGAGGGGGAGGGGGGAAAAAATGAGACCAGGAAGAGAAGAAGTAAAATGTTGAAATATACCAGTGGTTCTCAAACTTGAGCATGCAATAGAATCCCCTGGGGGGAACGTTAAGACACATGTCCTGGGCTCCATCCTCTGAGTTTCTGATTCAGTAATCTATGGTGAGCCTAAAACTGTGCATTTCTGGGGCGCCTGGGTGGCTCAGTCGTTGAGCGTCTGCCTTCGGCTCAGGTCATGATCCCAGGGTCCTGGGATCGAGCCCCACACCGGGCTCCCTGCTCAACAGGAGGCATGCTTCTCCCTCTCCCACTCCCCCCTGCTTGTGTTCCCTCTCTCACTGTCTCTGTCAAATAAATAAAATCTTTAAAAAATAAAAAAAAATTAAAATGTGCATTTCTAACAAGTTTCCAGGTGTTGCTGATGCTGCTGGTCCCGGTGCTATACTTTGAGAACCCCTAGGACTTCCAAAAAGTAAACAGCTGAGCTTTGTGCATAGCTATGTATTCTGGGTAAAAAATTGATGTATTTTGAAGGCAAATGTTTAACATTAATCAACGAAGTGTTAATATAATGGTATTACTGTGGGCAAAAGTCTCTGGAATATAATTAAAATGCCAGTTTATCCTTGGAGACCACTTCTTGAGAAGCTAACCATTTATACACAAATACCTTCAGTCAGTTTACATTAGCATTCATAAGCAATTATAATCTAAAGATTGTTATCAATTATAAGAGAAATTTGTGAAAAATTGCTATTTTATAATCATAGAAAATTTGAAAAGTAAAAAGAATTTAATTCCCAGGTTAGTTATAAGATTGGTAGGATTATTATTCCTATTGTTATTTTCTTTTTAAGATTTTATTTTTGAGTAGTTTCTATACCCAATATGGGACTCAAACTCACAACCCCAAGATCCGGAGTTGTATGCTATAATGACTGAGCCAGCCAGGTGTGCCCCATGGTTGTTATTTAAAATGTTTAATAGGGATGCCTGGGTGGCTCGTTGTTAAGTGTCTGCCTTCAGCTCAGATCATGATCCCAGGGTCCTGGGATTGAGTCCTGCATCTGGCTCCTTGCTCATCGGAGAGCCTACTTCTCCCTCTGCCTGCCGCTCCCCTTGCTCGTGCTTGCGATTGCGCGTGCATGCGCTCTCTCTCTCTATATATATATGACAAATAAATCTTTAAAAAACTATTTAACAACCAGTAGGACATGAGCACTGGCCTATTAGAACAGATTCCCCACCAATGAGAACAAATGCTGTACCTGCACATACCCCCTAAGTTGCTATTTTTATTTTACAAATGAGGAAAACAAGTGTACAGAGGTCAAGTATCTTGCCCAAGCCACACTGCTTGTCAGGGGCAAAGTGGGACTTCAGCTCTGGTAGCCCAACTCAACAGTAAGTGTTTTTAACCAACTTCTAAGTCACAAATTACTTACCAGTTCACATTATAGATGTTGAGATTCTCCACGAACAGGTGAGACACAGAGACCCACCCGAGTTTGCTTCTAAAGTAACAAGACTTACTTTCAAATGGACTCAATCTTACCACTTAATAGTTGCCCTCCATCAACATAGAGGTTATTGATCATTTTCTTTGCAACATGTGCATGATGTAGCAATAACCAGAATGTTTTCTTCCATATCATGCAGGTAACAACAGGGAGTGTTCCAGTAAGCATGGCATCTGTAATCATCCACATCCCTCAGTACACCAAAGAAAAGAACCCACTGATGTACCTGACTGAGGTGCACACAGATCAGGTAAGGGCAACTGAACTGCCTATAAAAGTGTGCACTTTCATTATGGAAATACTCCCATGAGGTTAGGGTGATCATGTCTTGATATCGTACAGATGGAAATCTGAGAAGATAAATGCTATGCATCCTAAGTGCCAATTAACTAGCAGTCAGTTTCATATTAGAAGCAGGTTATTGTTATATGGAAACAGTTACAGATGGCAGAAATTATTGCTAAAGCTTGGCTTTGGCCAGGTGAAGATCTTTGTCAGCATCCTGTTCATGGAGATGTTAGCTGACTGCCACTGTGGGAGACTAATTGGTCTACAGAGCTGCAATTAGTAGCTGGTCTTTAAGATGCCCGCCTGGACTTTGACCTGGTAGTGACCAACCCTGGCTCCTCGTTTTTATCAGCTGGGTTTCCTGCCCAGGCTCAGGCCCACCCCCAGTCAATTAAATCAGAATCTTCAGGGCGATGGCTCTAGCACCAAAGATTCCTTAGGAGCCCCCACCCCCAGGTAGTTCTAACATGCAGCCCGGGTGGAGAAGCACTGTCGAGTCAAACCCCTTGACATGGGCTCAGCCTTTGTCTGGCACGTAGAGCTGGCTCTCCGGTAGTTACTCCTGTGGTGTGCACAGGTGACGTCAGGAAATCAAAGTCTTAAAATGGTCCACAGAGAGCCCTGAATTCCGTCAGTTACAGTCTATTATTGCAAATGGTCTTGTTACGTATCAGGCTGTAAGAACCAGTGCCACCCACAGCACCCCGCCCCCTCCTCCCCAGTCGCATCAGGAGGATCTGAATACTTCCAGGTTTACGTGAATGGCTACAGGAGGGGTGGCAGGGTCGGGGAGGTGAAAGAAGCCTAAAATCCCTCCCCTGCCCCGACATGTGACCTCAGGACTTCCTAACATGTTAAAAGGAACATCAGAAATAATTTTGCTTCCTGAGACTGATTGGATGTCCTTCCTTACAGGCTGGTGACATCAGCTGTAAGGCCGAAATAAATCCACTGAAAATAGGACACATGTCTCCTTCTGTGTCTTTCAAGAATGAAAATTTCCGGCACATAAAAGAATTGGTGAGGACAGGTTAATGGGGTGACTATTTCTTTGGGTGATTCACTGTTTGTTTTACCTGGAAATCAAAGCACTTCTTTTCTATCACCTCATGTTACAGAATTTTCTCATTTTGGCTTTGATGACCCGTATGAATCAAGATTTAGAAAATACACTCTCAAATCTAGGTTATTGGGATTATTACTTATGCCGGTAATATAAAATCCATGTATCAGATTTCACGAAATCAAAAGGATTTCATGTGAAACTACTGTTTTGTATCAGGCACTTTGTAAGCATTGCAATGATTTGTGAGAGATCTGCGCATGCGCTTTGAAGGTGAAGCTCCTTACATTCCCCCTTCCGCATCATCACTGAGGTCTTATTTAGCTGCTAATACGCCTCTCTGGCCACCCTTCTCGGTTTTCCAATATTTTATTATCTCCTGCTCCAGAGTGATGAGCCTTTCCTTGAGAAAGAGGCTAGTCTAGCATCTGGTATGGTGCTTGGCACATATTAAGAACTCAAATAGTGAACATTTAGCAAACAGTAACCCTAAACAGACCGTAGTTCTCCTCTAAGAACAACACTGAAATTCTGGTTTTCATTTATTGAAATTGTTTTATTTTGTGATGGGTAAGGGTGGGGGTACAGGAAAATAGAATGAAATAGTTTCTTTTTTATAGTGTAATTACAGTGTAAGTATGGCTTAAATCTAAACAGTAGTATGTAAAAATGCCCAGGAGAAACTCAGGGTATGCCAAAATATACCTCTGAGCATTATCCTTATTTTTTTTTTTTTTATTTATTTATTTGAGAGAGAGAGAGAGCACAAGAGGGGGGAGCGGGAGAGGGAGAAGCAGACTCCCTGCTGAGCAGGTAGCCCCATGCGGGACTCGATCCCGGGACTCCAGGATCATGACCTGAGCCGAAGGCAGTCGCTTAACCAACTGAGCCACCCAGGCGCCCCGCATTGTCCTTATTTTTGTGAAAATTTTGATTTTGTAAAAATGGCAACTGCTCACTATGAACAACATAAAACACAAACAAGAAACTAAAGTCCTCTAGAAGTCAAATTGCCACTCAGTATTTAATGAACATCCATCTCTATACCTTTAAGTATTAATCCACATCTAGATAAATGTATCCTGTTACATAAATGGACCATGCTACCTTTATTTTTTTTAATTTTTTATTATGTTAATCACCATTACATCATTAGTTTTTGATGTAGT